CTTAAATCAATAATCTAAGTTTCTACCTCCAGAAACTAGAAAAAGAACAGCATAATGAACCCAAAGCAAGCAAAAGGGAGGAAATAATAAGGGTAAAACCAGAAATTAGTGAAATTGAAAAAAGAAAAACAATACAGAAAAATCAATGAAGCAAAAACCTGACACTTAACAAAATTGAAAAATCTCTAGCAAACTAACAAAGATTAAAAAAAGACAAAATTACCAATAGAAGGAGTGAAACAGGAAATGTCAGTATAGATCCACAGTCATTAAAAGGATAATAGTGGAATATTCTGAATAATTTTATGCTCATAAATTCTGTAAGTAGAAGAAATGGACAAATTCTTTAAAAAGTACCAAAACCCAGCTAAGATAAACACCTTAATAGTCCGATACTCATTAAAATCATTAAAGAAATTGAATTTGTAATTTAAAAGTTCTGAAAAAGCCATCTCCTAGCCTAGATGATTTCAACCGAACATTGAAAGAGTTTTTAATACCAATTTTAAGGGGAGTTTTATGAAGATACTATTACCCTGATGCTAAACTAAAAAAAACCTACAAAAACAAAATATAACCTAAACCTACAATATCTCTTATAAACTTAGATACAAACATTTTTGAAAAAATATTAGCAAATTGTATACACCAGTGTATAAAAAGAATTAATACTATGACCAAGCAGGATTTATTGCATTTGCAAAGCTTGTTCAGTGTCCAAAAATGTATCAATGTATTCTAACATATAAAGAAGTGAAAGAAGAAATACACATGATCATATCAATTATTACAGAAAAAGGTATTTGACAAAGCCAGCACTCATGGTAAAAGTTCTCATCAAACTAGAATTAGAGGGGGAACTTCCTCAACTTGATAAAGGGCATCTATGCAAAACCTACAGCTAACATCATACTTAATGGTAAAAGACTGAATCCTTTTTCTCTGTGATTGAGAACAAAGCAAGGGCATCTGTCTGCTTCCCTCCATTTTTATTCACTGTAGTACTGGAAGTTCTAATCAGTACAGTAAGGCAAGAAAAGAAATAAAAGACATACTGTACGAAAGAAAGAGCAAAAGCTATCCCTGTTTGCATGTGACACAACTGTCTATGTAAAAAATTCAAAGGGATCTACAAAAACACTCTTAGCATTAATACATGAGTTCAGCAAGGTTGCAGGATCCAAAATCACCAAACAAAAATCAGTTGTATTGCTATTATGACAGCGAACGTGTGGAAAGAAATATTAAAATCACCATTTATAATTTGCAAAGAAAATTAAGTACTAAGATATAAATATAATAAAATGTATACAGGATCTATATCCTTGACATTGCAAACTTGTGATGAAAGAAATCAAAGAACAGATACCTAAATGGAGAGACATTGCATGTTACTGCATTAGAAGACTCAACAGACTAAAAATGTCAGTTCTTGCCAGTTTCATGGACAATTTTAAGTCAATTCCTATTAAAATTCCAGTAAAGTATTTGATAAATAGACAAGCTTATTCTAAAATTTATGTAGAAAAATAATGGGCCTTAGCATAGCTAAAATAATTTGAAAAAGAATGAAGTTGGAGGAAACACTCTACCTGGTGTTAACACTTATTATATAGCTGCAATAACAAGATGGTGTATTATTATTGGTGGAGAGACAGACACTGAGATCAATGGAACAGAGTAGAGAACTCAGAAACAGTCTCACACAAACACGCCCAACTGATTTTTTAATGAAGATGTGAAAATAACTCAGTGGAGAAGCCAATTTTTAAGAATGATGCTGGAATAATTGTACATTTGGTGGCAAAAATAAATAAAGAACCTCTTCCTAACCCTCATACTTTATTCAAAAATTTATTTAAATGTAAATTTTGAAACTTTTAGGAAAAAAAATAGAAAATCTTCAGGACTGAGGGCTAGGCGAAGAGTTTTTAAACTTGATACCAAAAGCACAATCCCAGTGAAATAAAATCACAAATTGGACCTAATCAAAATTAAAATTTTCTTTCTGCAAAAGAATAAAGTGGATGAAAAGACAAGCTACGAACTGGGAGAAAATGTTTGCAAACCACATATCTGAAAAAGAAGTCATATCTAGAATATCTAAAGAACTTTGAAATATCAAAAATAAAGCAACAAACAATCCAGTTAGCAAAGGACAAAAGATATGAACAGATGAAAAGATATTCACTGTCAGTTTCAAGTAGGGAAATGCAAACTAAAACCACAATGAGCTATCACCACCTGCCTATTAGGGTGGCTAAAATAAAAAATACTGATAACACCAAATGCTGGTAAAGATGCTGAGAAACTGGATCGCTTATACATTGTTTCTAGGAATATAAAATTGTAAAATGGTACAGCCATTCTGGAAACAGTTCACTAGTTTCTTAAAAACCTAAACATGAGCCTCCCATTCAACCCAATAATGTACTCTTGGGCATTTATGTCAATGAGAAATAAAAGTTTATGTTCACATAAAAACTGGCACAAATGTTCTCATAGTAGTTTTACTTGGGATAGCTCCAAATTGGAAATAATTCAAATTTCCTTTAAGGAGTAAGTAGTTAAACTGTGGTACATCATACCATGGGATGCAACTCAGTAATAAAAAGAAATGAACTGTTGATATTCACAAAAACTTGGATGAATCTCAAAGAAATTATGTTGAGTGAAGAAAGCCATATGTACTATGTACTTTCATTTATGTAACTTACTTGAAATGACAAAATGGCCAACATGTTAGTGGTTGCCGGGGATTAGAAATGGAGGAGGAAGAGAGTTGGCTTTTGCTATGAAAAGAATCTTTATGATAGAATTGTTCTTTATCTTAAGGTAGTGGGTGTTGCCAAATCTACTCATGTGATAAAATGGCATAGAACTAAATACATATGTATACACACACACAACACACGTGTAAAAGCAGTAGAATCTGAATAAGTTCAGTGGATTATATCAGTGTTAATTTCCTGGTTGTGCTATTGTACTTTAGTTATGGAAGATGTTTCCATTGGGGGAAATGGGTGAAATATGTATGAGATCTCTCTGTACTGTTTCTTACAACTACATACGAACCTACAGATATCTCAGAATAAAAGATTAATTCACATGCAAAAAATGAAGTTGGACCCCTGCTAACACCATATTCAAAATTAACCTAAAATGGATCAAAGACCTAAATGTAAAAGCTAAAACTATAACATTCTTAGAAGAAAAAATAAATGTAAGAGCTAAAAGTTTTAAAAATTCTTGGAAGCATAAATCTCAGAACATTGGAGTAAGTGATGGTGTCTTCGGTAGGATACCAAAATCACAAACAATAAAAAAATAGATGAATTTGGATTCATCAAAATAAAATATTTTGTGCTTTAAGGATACTATCAAGAAAGTGAAAAGACAACCCACAGAAGAGGAAAACATTTTTGAAAATCTGCTAAGGGACTTGTTTTTAAAATATATAAAGAATACTAAGTCTTGGTCATAAAATGGAAGATGACCCATTTTATAAAAGGGCAAAGGATCTGAATGGACATTTCTCCAAAGAAGATGTACAAATGGCCAATAAACAGCTGAAAAGCTGCTCCCCATTATTAGTCATTATGGAAGTACAAATGAAAACCAGTGAGTTACCACTCTATACCTACTAGGATGGCTGTAATTAAACACACAGATAACAGCAAGTGTTGGTGAGAATGTGGAGAAACTGGAACCCTCCTACATTGCTGGTGCTAATGGCAGCTTTGAAAACAGTCTGGCAGTTCCTCAAAAGGTTAGACATAGAATTATCATATGACCCAGCAACCACTTCTAGGTATACACCCAAAAGAAATGAAAACCTACGTCTGCACCAAAACTTATACACAAATGTTCACAACAGTATTATTCATAATAGCCAGAAAGTGAAAACAACCCAAATGTTCATCAACTGATGAACAGATAAACAAAATGTGGTCTATTCATACAACAGGATGTTTATATGCTAAACAATAAAAAGAAATACTGTTATATGCTATAGCAGGGATGAATTTTGAAAACATTATACTAAGTAAAAGAAGCCAATCACAAAGGATCCAATTTTGTATGATTTCATGTTTCAGATAATGAAAAAAAATTCTAAAATTGATTGTGGTGATGGTTGCACAACTCGGCATATACTAAAAATTCCTGCATTCTACATGTTAAATGAGTAAATGGCACAGGAATTGCATCTCAAGCTCTTACCAATAACCTTTCCATTTTTAAAGTTTTATTTTAAGATGCTTTGAAGGATGATTATTATTATTTCATACTATACCTTTTTTTTTTTTTTAAAGATTTTATCTATTTATTTGAGAGAGAGAATGAGAGAGAGAACATGAGAGGGGGGAGGGTCAGAGGGAGAAGCAGACTCCCTGCTGAGCAGGGAGCCCGATGTGGGACTCGATGCCGGGACTCCAGGATCGTGACCTGAGCCGAAGGCAGTCGCTTAACCAACTGAGCCACCCAGGTGCCCCATACTATACCTTTTAATACAGAACAGAAACAATGCTTTCTGTCCCACCGGTTTAGTCAATAATTTGGACACGGACAAGTTCAGAATGTTCCTTTGTATCTCCTAGGAAGTAGATTTTTCCTAAACAAGTTGATAGTAAGCAAGAACGGTTGGGTCGTGCTCCTGAAAATTCAGGCTATTTCCATTCCTACAGATGGACACACACGCCTGTGTGAATATATTCACATATTAGGAATGCATATAAAATATATGCTGGTCCTCTGCTTGTTACAGGCTGTTCTTTACTATGGATTAAAGAAAGGACTGAGGGACTTTCTTCTGATTTCATGCTATTAGCCTTGACTTATTGTATGCATTTTGAAAGAGATTTAAAAAAATCCTGAGTTAGTCAATCTTTGTACTCACTTAGACTGACATTCTTCCCTTTGAGCCAAATTTTCCTGTGTTTCTTGAGGAATACCAACACTGTCCTCAATTAACTTAAGTAGTCCTGTTTGTTAATTTGCAGCTTCCAAATGAGGATCCTGAAATTTTTGAAGTGTCATCCAAATGTCTGTCCATACTGGTTCAGCTGTATGGAGGGGAAAACCCAGACAGCCTGTCTCCTGAAAATGCAGAGAACTTTGCCGATTTACTGACATCTAAGGAGGACCCAAAAGAGCAGAAGCTTCTGTTGAAGATTCTCAGAAGAATGGTGAGTCCCTATGGAAACTGGGGCCAGGGTGGGTGGCTTCAGTGGCAGCTGATGGAAGAGAGTAGTGATTTTCTTCCACCGGATTTCAGTAAAAGAATTCCTGGGTACCTTTCTCGGCGGTCACCTCTTGATAACATTTATTGCGTTCTGCTTGTCTATCTGCATATACGCGTATTTTTTTTTTCCTGAACTGTTGAAGAATAAATTAGAGACATCATGCCCTCTCACCCCTTAAGGCATTAAATGTACATTTTCTAACAAAATGGATGTTCTTTTCACCACAGTAATCAAAATCAAGAAATTTAACATTGGTACCCTTCTTTTACTGTTGGGCTATCCATATTCCAATTCTGTCAATTGCTCCAATAATGTCTTTTAATGTCTTTTATAGCTTTTTTTTTTTTCCTGGTACAGGATCCAGTCCAGGATCACATGTGTTGGTAGACACTTGTCTTTAATCTGGACTAGTCCTGCCGCCTTTCTTCATCTTGCATGGCATTTTTGAAGAACATAGGCTGGGTGTTCTGTAGGCTCTGATTCAGTTTGGGTCTGTGTAATGTTTTCTGATGATTAGATTCAGGAAAACCCCAGAAGGGAAATTGTGTCTTTCTCACTCCTTCACACCCAGAGGCTCATGACGTCTGTTTGCCCCTTCACTGGTGATGTTAATTTTGATCACTGGGATTAGTCGATGGCAGCCATTATTTTTAATGTTGCAATGGTTGCAAGATGGAGATCTTCTGACTTCCAACATTTCTAACTCCCAATATTCTACTTTAAGGAAAAAATTTCCTTTTGCCCCATCGGTTTTATTTTATATTTTACAAATGTCTATAGCTGATGTTTATTGGAAAGTACTTTTGAAAACTGACTCATTTTCTTTTTACAGTAGCTATTATTCCGCTGGTTTGGAAAGCCATTATATATTGTAGTTATTGTTGAAATTAATGAAGGGGTGGAGGTCCCATTCATCTATGTCATGTTCTGGCTTGTCAGTCTGTGTTTACCTCTAGATACAGATATCTTGAGGAGTCTGTTGGCAGTGGAGGCTACGGATGCCCCAGAGACTTATATTCAAGACAACTTTTGTGCCAGTTTGATAGACAACTGTAGTGCGTGACCCAGCTAAATCTATAGGGCAGGTTATGGGTGACAGATTAGAAGAGAGATAGAGATTTACCCTGAAATGATTTCTTTACGGTTTCTGACCTGCCACCTATTGGGCCAATTAGATTCTGTTTGGGGAAGAAAGTTAAATCCAAGTGACTTTGACCTGTATATGTAAAAACAGAAGTTGTTTCTGATGCTGCTCATCCTTTTTCATTTTTTAATTGAGGTAATATATATTATTGTATATATAACATATATGTTTATATATAAAACATAATATATATTATGTATATTATATATAAATATTATTTATATATATAACATAAAATTTACCATCTCAACCAGTTTTAATTATACAGTTCAATGGTATTGTGTGCATTCTAATTTCTGTCTCCATAAATTTGTCTACTCTCAGTCCCTCGTATAAGTGGAAGCATACAATATTTGCCTTTTTATGTCTGGCTTATTTCACTTCGTGTAGTATCTTTGGGGTTCATCCATGGTGTAACCTGTGCCAGAATTTCCTTCCTATTTAAGGTTGAAGAATGTTCCATTGTGTGTATAGACCACATTTTATTTATCTTTCCATCTGTTGATGGACATTTGGGTGGTTTCTACCTTTTCTGCTCCACTTATTTTTTTTTTTTGTCTTTTTATTATTATCCAATAGACTCATGGCATTTTCTTTTATTTAGTGTGTTGTAATCCACTGCTTTCTATTATGTGGCCAGTGAGAACCTCTTCTGGGGGGACTGTGTCTTTTGACATGCCCCCATAATTTTTTTTGAGCACTTCCATCTTTTTTCTTTTTGTAATCATGTGTGTATTCTCTTTTTGTAATTGAAGTGTTGACAATGTTATGATTAGTTTCAGGTGTACAACATAGCGATTCAACAATTCCTTCTATACATTACAGTGTTGACCACAATAAATGTGGTTCTATCACCATACAAAGTTTTTTAAAATTATTGCCTATATTCCCTATGTTGTACTTTTCATCCCCGTGATGCATTTATTTTATAAATGGAAGTTGGTACTTCTTAAACCCCTTCAGCTATTTCGCCCACCACACCCCTGCCCCTCTTCCCCCTGGCCACTACCAGTTTGTTCTCTATATTTGAGTTTGTTTCTGTTTTTGTTTATTGTGTGTTGTAGAGTCCACATATAAGTAAAATCATGTGGTAGTTTTCTTTCTCTGTCTGACTTATTTTGCTTAACATAATACTCTCTAGGTCCATCCATGCTGTTGCAAATGGCAAGATTTCATTCTTTCTATGGCAGAGTATATATATTTGTATAAATATGTGTATATTGCATATATATATTTCATTGTATATTCATAGCGTGTATGCATATATATACAAACACACATGCACAGACACACACATCTTCTTTATCCATTCATCTGTCAATGGATGGTTAGGTTGCTTCCGTATCTTGGCTATTATAAATAATGCTGCAATTGGTATTAAATATTTGGTAGAATTCTCCAGTGAAATCATTTAGGCCAGGAGATTGCTTTTTGGGAATTTTTAAATTATGAATTCAATTTCTTTAATGATTATAGGACTATTAAGGTGTTTACCTTAGCTGAGTTTTGTTACTTTTTAAAGAATTTGTCCATTTCTTCTAGTTTCAGAATTTATGAGCATAAAATTATTCAGAATGTTCTGCTATTATCTTTTTCAAATTAGTATTTCCTTTTCTTTGGTTAAATACCCAGTAGTGGAATTACTGGATCATATGGTATTTCTCATTTTTTCAGGGACCTCCATACTATTTTCCACAGTGGCTACACCAGTTGACATCCATACCAACGTGCACAAGGGGTTGGGGTTCCCTTTTCTCTACCTCATCACCAAAACTTATTTTTTGTCTTTTTGATTCTAACCATTGTGACAGGTGTGAGGTGGTGTCTCATTGTGGTTTTGACTTGCATTTCCCTGTTGATGAGTGATGTTGAGCATCTTTACATGTATCGTTGGCCATCTGTGTGTCTTCTTTGGAAAAATATCTGTTGAGGACCTTTGCTCATTTTTTCATCAAATTGGTTTTTTGGTGTTGAGTTGTGTGACTTCTTTAAATATATTGGATATTACCCTCTTATCGAATGTATCACTTGCAAATATCTTCTCTCATTTAATAGATTGCCTTTTTGTTTTGTTGATGGTTTCCTTTGCTGTGCAAAAGCTTTTTAGTTTGGTGCTGTCCTAATAGTGTATCTTTGCTTTTGTTTCCCCTGCCTCAGGAGACATCTAGAAAAATGTTGCTATAGCTGATGTCAGAGACATTATTGCATGTGTTTTCTTCTAGGATTTTTATGGTTTTAGGTCTCACATGTAGGTCCTGAATCCGTTTATTTTGGGTATGGTGTAAGAAAATGGCCCAATTTCATTCTTATGCACGTAGCTGTCCAGTTTTCCCAGCACCATTTATTGAAGAGACTGTCTTTCCTTCATTGTATATTCTTGCCTCCTTTGTTGTAGATTAACTGACCATGTAAGTGTGGGTTTATTTCTGGGCTCTCTATTGAGCACTTTCCATCATAACATGATATTCCAGGTTCATCTTCTACCTTTTTTCTGCAGCAGCCCTGGAGTTAGCCATTCCTCCAAGGAACCATGGAACTTTTTCCTGGAGTTTTCTTGCTTTTCATTTAGAAAACAAGATACAAAAATGTTCAAGGGTGAAGTTATGAGGACTGTTTGCTTAACAAGAAAAACAGCCTGGACAGTCCCAAGAGTCTTATCCCAAGTTGTACCATCTCATAGAGGAAAGCTCTGCAAGTCACTGTCACCCTGATGTCTCTGACTTAGCTACGCAGGAATGCCCACCATGTTTGCAGGCCAGCCATCTGTGAGGCATGTTTTAAAATCTCCCAAAGCTTTCTAAATTACCCTGGGTCAGTCAGTGGTGGGTTCAAGTTGTGTAAAACACAGGGATTCTGAGGCCCATTCAGCTCAGCTGGGGCCTGGAACTTGCCTATCCTGAAACTCAGTTCTTTTTTTTTAATTTAATTTTATTATATTATGTTAGTCACCATACAATACATCATTAGTTTTTGATGTAGTGATCCACGCTTCATTGTTTTCATATAACACCCAGTGCTCCATGCAGTATGTGCCCTCCTTAATACCCATCACCAAGCTAATCCATCCCCCCACCTCCATCCCCTCTAACACCCTCAGT